TACGTTCTGTATATAACCAGAATAACTGACAATCTAGACCTGTACGTTCTGTATATAACCAGAATAACTGACAATCTAGACCTGTACATTCTGTATATGACCAGAATAACTGACAATCTAGACCTGTACGTCCTGTATATAACCAGAATAACTGACAACTAGACCTGTATATTCTGTATATAACCAGAATAACTGACAATCTAGACCTGTACGTTCTGTATATAACCAGAATAACTGACAATCTAGACCTGTACGTTCTGTATATAACCAGAATAACTGACAATCTAGACCTGTACATTCTGTATATAACCAGAATAACTGACAATCTAGACCTGTACGTTCTGTATATAACCAGAATAACTGACAACTAGACCTGTATATTCTGTATATAACCAGAATAACTGACAATCTAGACCTGTACATTTTGTATATAACCAGAATAACTGACAATCTAGACCTGTACGTTCTGTATATAACCAGAATAACTGACAACTAGACCTGTATATTCTGTATATAACCAGAATAACTGACAATCTAGACCTGTACATTCTGTATATAACCAGAATAACTGACAATCTAGACCTGTACGTTCTGTATATAACCAGAATAACTGACAACTAGACCTGTATATTCTGTATATAACCAGAAAAACTGACAATCTAGATCTGTACATCAATAAATGTTGGTGATTTTTTAGATTTTAAATATGATGAGTTGATAGAAACTAAGTCAATATGAAACATGATATATAGATGATGATATTACTAGTTCACTGTAACATAATGATACAGTCAGTCTGATATCACCTCTAGAGAGTTCACATCAATAAATAACTCATCTTCACAATGTCAAGCTATTACAAACTTCGTCTTCACAATGTCAAGCTATTACAAACTTCATCTTCACAATGTCAAGCTATTACAAACTTCATCTTCACAATGTCAAGCTATTACAAACTTCATCTTCATAATGTCAAGCTATTACAAACTTCATCTTTACAATGTCAAACTATTACAAACTTCATCTTCACAATGTCAAGCTATTACA